ATGGAAACAACCAAACTTGTTGCCTGTCTAATCGGATATTGAAACATAACTTTCACTGATTCAGAGTGACTATATCGCAGAAGGAGAACATTTCTCGGAATTGCTGTTTATTCACAGGCGAAAAAGATTGGAATTCATGATCTGGAAAACTATTTTCGTCTTTCAACCTCTTGAGACCATTGGTAACATCAGGAAGTCCTTGTAAGAATATTTGCAGTTGTGGACCTTTTATGACGTAAGGCCTTTTGATAAAACGTAATCCAAGTGTAAGAGGCTGTAAGATGAATTCACGATCGTTCAAATGATGTCTACATGACGTGATACCCTCGGGAATGTAGATGTCTCTTGAAAAAAACACATTTGATTTGCATTCGGTACTCATTTGGATAATATTTGCAGCAGCATTGCAAATCAGACATGTTCCATTACGAGTTTGTGTCAAAACATTGAGTTTCAAACATGTTAGATCTTGTTGTATTGCAATAAGTTCATTCTGAATAGATCGATCACAAGTGAAGCATAATCTGGTTGAAAAAATTACCTCAGCTGGCGGTCTTTCGAGTTGATCTCGTCTCCGAATAGGCACTTCACTTTTGAAAGCATTCTCATCTTCACCTATTCGAACCATGTGCTGTGGAGTTAATCTTCTATCGCAAACAGAACTAAGATACAATGTTTCTGAAAGCCATTGAGTTCACAGATCCGATAACGATACAGTATTCGATTTAAATGTCGTTCGAATGCAGTTAATGAATGAATACACTTCTCAATATCTTTCAACTTGACAATAGAATTTTTGAATAAAATTTCATATCCAAAGCCAACTTCTGATTTGTCTTTTTGTAATGACCCATATTGACCAAATGAAACTCTTTTATCATATCTGAAATAGTAATAAAGGGCGTAGTGACATTCAGCAACTAGCCAAAAAAACCTCTATAACATGGAGGTTATCCACATTTTGAGAATCATATAAGTAATCAAGAGATCATTACTGAAATCCATATCAAATGGATAGATTCAATATATATGTACTTTATCTTCAGAAATCGAAGTTTTCTTAGTAGTCATAGATTCAAATGGATCACTTGCAATTCCAACACTGAAAAAAGAGTGTCAGAAGTTTTTAACGTATTATTGATTTTCCCTATTATTACTATTTTATGAGTATTTCCACGGACGTTGCTAATATTATTATCAATAATAATAAATCGCCCTCCTAAACACTCACATAACTTCTGCTGGATTTTTCTCTTTTCAGCTGTAGGAAAACCCGAAAAACCTACAGCTCCACCTCCGTGGTCGGTGTGCACTCCGAGCTAGCACTAGACGGGAAGTCTGGAGACCCACTCAGTACCCCCCACCCTCTCACCCTCCCTCTGTCTTTTCTCTCTCTCACTTCTTTTCCTCTTTCTCTCTCTCATACTTTATTTGTTTTGAACTGAACAACTAAGCATTCGAATTCTTTACCAAGATATTTGTTTCCTGAGAATGAAATCTTCAAACATTAGAAATTAAAAGATTTTTTTGCTATACACGATGTTCCCCAGACATGAAGGAGTTTTCTTTTTGTGTGGAGCTGGAAATGAAAAATGTAAAAATAATTCAATAAAGATCAAAGTATTTGAAACAGTAACCTTCAACACCTTGTAGAGAAAAGAGTGTCCATTTTTCAAGGTTGAGCCCATGCACACTATTTTTTAGCTTGACTCCAATTTCATCATATCAAAAATTCAGCAAATCAATTACAGGATGAGTTATAAAAAAATCTTCTTTTCGAAATTTTTATCATCACCTAGTGTTTGTCTCATATTGTAACTCAATTTACTTCAAAATAATACGAATAGTTCGTGGTCATGTTTCCCTAAAGCCAAGGTATCAAAAAATATACGAAATGTACCAGAAAACCTGTTACTTTTCGAGTCGCCCTGTACAAAATGTTGAATTAATCAATTTTGAGATATTTAAACGATAACCATATCAGTGTGTTACTTGTTTTAGTCACATCTTCACTTCATAAGGTTGATTGAGAAGTTCATTTCGAATAATGCTACACTCACCCTGTATAAAACAATATTTATTTTTATAAAAAACCAGTCTAAAAGTATTGATTTATGTCCAAGCAATATTCGTCATGCAAAACATTTTTTAGGATGTTCTCCAGAAAGCAATATTACTCTAAAGAAATGGCCACTTATCAACTTTGACAACCTGTATCTCAAAAACTAGCTTGACTTGAACTACATATCAAAAATTCATCAAATTTCACTGGGACCCATTTTCCATAAGAATGGTGCGAGGTTCAAACCCAAACAAACGGGGAAAGCTAAATAAAACTAAAATGGTTTCACGGCTATCGCGACCGAGGTTTGCAGTGTCACTATTTTTTGGGTTTGAAGGCCAAGAAGATGCAACAAAGCATCAGGTCGGCTAAAGAGAAAAGGGGTCCACTATCAGCAGTAGGGGTTTATCGCATAACATGAACTTGCGGAAAGGTATACATCGAAACCACCAAAAGATGCATTGGAATAACAAGACTGATGGAGCATGAAAGAAACTACAGGCTAAGCCAAACTGACAAGTCAGCTGTAGCAGAGCACGTACTCAGTGAAGGAAACCACAGGATTCTGTTTGAAAACACGTAACTCATTGCCCCCAACCAAGGATACCATAGCCGACTAGTACGGAAGGCAATGGAAATCCACAAACACACAGATAATTTCAATGAAAAAGAAGAATCTGTGAACCTCAATCGAATATGGAGTCCCATTCTAAGATGTTCAAGAATAGCAAACAGCATGGAGGCAGGTAGAAAAAGATCAACTAACGTTATTGACAATTTACCAAATACAGGTACAGTTATTATCACACCGGACTACCTGAATAAACATAAACAGGCTTTACGTAATTTACCTAAGCCAGGTTATTAGCACACCAAACTACCTGAGGAGTTAACATAAATACGCGTTATGCAGCCGTAATATCCAGTCATCAGAGATATTAACTCAGGATGTATAAACCTCTGAGGAAGCTAGCCACTCGCGCCAGCGAGTTGCTGACACGCCCTCCGACACAGTCGGGAGGGCGTGTCAGCATTGTCAACCAATGACCACTTCCCACACAGCGGTGTAAGTGATCATTGGGTCCGAGAATCATGTGATCAAAGTAAATGCAATGAGCCAAGAATGTTAGCCTTCTGCATTCGTTCGGCCAATATTTGTGTCACCGTACGCATGCCGGCATGATTTTGATATTCGAGAGTAGAGGGCTTCATTCCACCAAGGACTCCAATAATCAGAACAACCAGAACAGAATTATCGGGTTAGAGTCGGCGGAGTTCGAAGAGAAAATTTCGATATTTCATCTTCTTTTAAAACAATATTCGTCTAATCGGGAACACAACAAATATCATCTTGCTCTGATGTTCGAGGAGAACTACATCAGGCTTGATAAATTGTATTAGTCCGAGTGGAGAATGAATAGTTCCAATAAATACGGCACTATTCATTCCCTACAACGGATTCAATATCCTCCGGAGCGTAGGATAACAGCGGTGTTTCATCAATACCGTAAAAAAACCGCAGATGGTGACAAGGCACTCTTAGGATCGCGTTATGTCGATGAATATAGACTGAGACCGCTTGGGGTGGACATGCTGACAGCAAGTGCATAAGGGTCTCACGCGTCATAAAGGTCTCAGGCGCCTCGCGACAGGTCCTGTACCTTGTGTCAGAAACATCTATACCTATCTCACGACTGCAGAAGGTGTTGAAGACACCATCCTGGCAGGCCATGATGAACCCCTTAGTTTCTGTATAAAAGTTGCTCGTAAACAACTTATAACACGAGTTTAAGCATGTTATCATTCTGTATTTCTTAGGAATCGACAAATCTCCGTTTTTGGGAATAAGAACAGTCCGTCACTCGACAAACCAATCTGAAATAGGCTGGTCCCCGTCCAGCCATGACTTGAAAACTCTGATCAGATAACGGTGGTTGCTTTGAAGTTTTTTCCACCAATTAATGTTCAGCCCATTTGGGCCTGGGGCAGCAAAGTGCTTGGAACCTCTTCGAACGTCATCCGAGGTTTATGGAGTTGTGCAGTTCGTTGAGATCAGGCTGTTGAAGCTCTCTGTTGAAAGCTTCGAACTGCGCTGGGGCTAGAGTGTCCGCGTGAGGAGGCTCTTAACTTAGACACTCTTGGAACAAGCGAGAAGGTTTCTCGCGGAACTAGAGGTTTTCCGCGATGCTTCTCACTCGCCTCACTAGTGACTTTTCAACGGCCACTAGGATTCGTAACCTATCAAAGCAGAGCTGTTTGGTGGTCAGAGGCACGCTCTGACTCAAAGTATGATAGATACGTCGTAATTTGGCGGCTATCATGAGAGGCCTGTTGGCCGCCCTATAACCCATCACACATTGGATACGAGACGCGTGTTGTGTCGCCAACTTGACTTTAGGCTCCATCTTGTGTACCCTCCGTTCAATCTTTCGAGCCGACAGTCCGGGATTCGGTGTCACCGCTCCGGAAAGCAATTGAACGGCTGTGTACACGGCGGTGTTAATTTGCCAGATTTCAGCCTCTTCTGTAAAAACATCACGAACCACCGAATCCATGCTAGCCAGTACTTGTGGCTTCAGGGGTCTATTTCGGTGGAGCGCCCTACGTTTCTCCACTGGTGGCATAATGCGAGTCTCCTCTCCAGCCGCGCCATCGGGTGGTAGAACTGCCACTTCCACCACTTCGTTAACTGGTTGAGGAGTCATATAGCCCTGCAGCCGAAGATACGATTATTATCATTCATTTGTACCAATTGTACATATCACAATGAGAACGGAATTCCAAAATGATGATTGTAAAAAAGATCGACATCGACAAGATGAGAATTTTTGAGTAGTGCTTGTGCAAAATATCAACGAAATATCAAAATATTTATATTGAATAAGATTGAAAAAAAATGTTCAAAACCATTAACAGAATACGACCTTCTAGTACTTACTACTACTGTTCATTATAGACTCGTAGACATCCTCCACCTTCTTCAACTTTTTATTTTCGTAACCGGTCACCTCCTCAGGTGGTCCAAACATGGCGAAAGCGATTTTCTTCTTGAGTTCCTCGTGCTGATCGAAATCGAAAGAATCATAATCTCTATCGCCAAGCATGTCCGCCATCATTTTTTGGTAATTGGTAGAATCCATGTCGATCTCACTACCTACCTTCTTTTCGAGATTTTCCAACTCTTTCTGCTCGAGTTTCTCAGACTTCAAAAAGGTCGAAACGTTCTCCAGAGATGTAAGAAAATTCTTGTCGGAAATCTTTCCAGACATGCAAGAATTGACGGCGATGCAGCCGTCTATGTTTTGGATCAGTAAAGCCGCGCTAACCATGCACTTGACGAAACTGGCCAGATAGGACAAGTCGAACTCGTTTAGGGCTTTCTCGATATCGCTGTGGTTGTCGGCGTTTTCTACGTCCCATCCCAGAATGAAGAAACTGCTTTTCAATATTTCGACAATTTTGGGGTTTCGCAGGTTCCTGAGGAAAATTTCGGAAAACGGTTCGTTATCTTTGTGAAAATAAAGAAGTAGAACTTTCCGCTGAAAATAAAATATGTAGTTGACTATTTGTTAGTTGGTGAGTGAAAGTTACGAAAAATATCAATGCAATATCAGAATAACCAGAGTTAAAATCAAAACTTTAGGATCAGAGAACTGAAAACAAACTGCTTGGGCTGCCTAAAATTTCTAGATACTTCATTATTCAATGGTCATTATTCAAATTTGATCCAATCCACATTATTCAAGTTCCAACATAAATGGATAGTTCAAGAACAGTAACAATAAAATAATACTGAAAAAATATGATATACATTTTCAGCTTCTAATATGTGTAAATTCATTTTTATTGAAAATAACCAGGTTCAATTCAATGCCACCAAAACCCAGGCATCGGTTTTCTCCAAAAAGATAAATGTCTCCAAACCGGATATAATGATGTCAGTCAGACAATTCCACTTTCTGCTTCGATAAGTTTGTTGGGGGTTAAAATGGACATCAATATGTCTTGGCACAATAATGTCGCGGGAATTGCAAAGGCTGCTTCTCAAAAGCTTAGAACACTGTTCCGAACCAGAAAACTGTACACACCTCAGCAACTTTTGATGCTTTATAAAGCTCAGATCAGACCTTCTTTGGAGAATTATTCTCATGTATGGAGCTCCGCCCCCAAACATACCCTGAAGCTGCTGGATTCCATCCAGAAAAGAGCCATCCGCCAGATTGGAGACGCGAACATCACTTGTAACCTTGATAGTCTGGAACATGGAAGAAAGGTTAGAGATTTGTCTTTCTTCTATAGATACTTTCACGGGAAGTTTTCAAGTGACTTGGCATATTTGATTCCACCAAGTACATATCAGAAATACGCGACGGACTGTGGCTGCTCATCGTTTTGAGGTTCAACTCAGTACACCTCGAACTTCACCGTTCAAGAACTTTTTCATTTGGAGTACGTTTACGCAAAATAAACTTCCTGAGAACGTTTTTCCAAATAGATTTAATCTCCAGCGATTCAAATCCAATGTGAATCACTACTTTCACGCACAGAGCACCTTAAGGATTTTCCTATAGTGCTTGTGTTTTGTCCTTAAAAAAATTATTGAATGGATAATGTACCTAATATAACGAAAGAAATAAGTATTACTCAGAATAAAGATTTTAGGACTAGTGAAAATGAATTTCACCTACCTATGTACTGAATATTGTCATCATTGATTATAATTTAATATGTTATTTGTTTTGCAGAAAGCTTGTTATGCTACATGTTTATAGAAAGAAGTACTGGTTAATTTCACTAAACTTGTCGTTAGTATTTATTCTGTCAGCAATGAAGTTTTAGTAAAACAATAAATTGAGGACAAGTAAAATATTAAATCATACTCATTAATAATGTTATTCAGTAAGTAGGTAGGTATAATCTGTTTTTATCTGAACAAAACTTATTTCATTAGTTTAACTATTGTAACGTATCTGAAGCCGGCCCTGACCGATATCTCAGCCAGCAAACACATGACTCAATAGCGAAACCCCTAGAGAGATCTGGAGCGTTCGTTGACGATATTTGACGATATAAAAAGGCCGCTTCCCGTCCCGAGCGGCAGTCAGTCTGTATTCAGAAAGCGAATCGAACGTTAACAAAGAATTCGAACAGTGAAGATAAATTGAGCTTTAGTTGCAGACCGCTTTCCGTCCCGAGCGGCAGTCAGTCTGTATTCAGAAAGTGATTCGAACGTTAACAAAGAATTCGAACAGTGAAGATAAATTGAGCGTAAGTTGCTAAGTGTTGTATATAAATTAGTTGTTATTGTGAAATATTGTTGAAAATAAATTTGTTTGAGACAGTTAATTCTTTAATTCGTTACAGCATATTAGCATTGTACGCTTCAATAAAAGTTAGCTAACTAACTTTTCAATTTGTACATCATGAACTATTTATTTCTGCTAGTGCATCATTTTTAGATAGTTATTTTACTGTTAGTTTTGAGCTATCTTATTCCTCAAAGAGGAGGCGTTCCCCATATCAAATTTAGAATGACGTCCCTTTGTAATGACGTGTACGAGTATATAAAGTTTCAGCATAATTTCAGATTTGTAAGACACTAACAGGTCAAGTTAAATAAAAGCTTGTGAAAAAGAGTTGATTTTTTTGCTAAACAATTTAAATCCCATTCTACAGTAAATTTTCAGGATAAATCAATACATTCTTTCCATCAGAACCGCTATAATTCAACAAAATTTAACAAAATGAATCTCGAACCAGTTGAATTGATTGATTGCTTGCTTCATTGTTTAAAGAAATGTATTCTTGTCACAAAGCTCAGCTTACAAATAAAGATGAAATTTTAATTTTTGCTTCCCAATTAGGAGGCTTTTTACTGCTTTTTAAAAATTATTGTATTGAAAAGATGAATTTATAATTGAAATCAACTATTTTTTCTCCTCGAAATGAAATTGTTTGAAGAAGAAATACATTTTGGGTGAATGTGTCAGAAATTGTTTATTAGTCAGTATTAGCCGGAGAGTTTTTGAAGGGCTAAAGGAAGATTTGGGGAAACAGGCAGTGTGAGGCATAAGAAAAGACAAGTAGTAAATAAAATTGCAACAAATGAAGAAAATTAATTGGCATGCACTACTACTCAAGAGAGAACCTTCATTGAATGAGAGAAGTCAATAACCAAAACAAATAGTCGATAAATGTTTGGGGGCACAATTGGAGATCAAGTCATGGAACCATATTTATTTAACGGGTCTCTGAATGGAGAAATGTATAAAGATTTCCTCCAAAATGATTTATCAAATTTGTTGTACCAATTGACATGATGGCACACCTCCCCACAATCAAAATCGTGTGAGGTTTTTTCGAACATGTGGCGTAGGAATAAGTGGATTGGAAAAAATAGACCCATTCACTGGCCAGCACGAACACCAGACCTAACGATCCTAGATTTTTTTCTATGGGGATATCAATATCGAAAGAAACCAACAACACTAAAAGACTTGAAGAATAGGATTAGAGAAATTTTTCGGTCCATTTCAACATCAACTTTAATTGAAGTTCGAAGGAAAATTGTTGATAGACTACATTTACGCATAACTCAAAATGGAATATTGTTCCAACATCTATTGTAAATTTGTGCGTTTTAAAATTGTTTGTTCTCATTTTTCCATTTGTTTTGTCCAGCACTAAATAAAAAAAAACGTTATTGCTTCTATTAAATGATTTTTTCATACTTTCCTCAGGAATTAGATATATTCCTAATGGAATTGAAGTAGTCAATCTCTACATTTTCTGAAAGCCCATTGTTTGAACTATTCCGAAATGCCCCTATGTACAGGTTGTTCCTAAATTCCCCAACGCCATGAAGTCCAGAGAAACCAATGGTTTTCAAGCGCAAAATAAAAACGATGCTATGAACAAAACTTATTTAAAAATTTCACCAACATCCTCTTCTAAAAGCACGGAGAAACTTCATTATCTTTCTTCATATTCTAACAAGCAGCAAGAAGAATGTACTGCAGTAAAAAAAAAGTCGAATGAACATCCATTAAATACATTGATCAAAGTTCTTGTTAGCGATGAATACTTGAAAGGTTTCTCTAGATTCTAGGGCACTGTTAATAAATATGAAATATATGAAATGGTGAAACATAATCTAGAACTCCCATAACTGACGGAAAACCAAAACAAAACCAACATTATATCATTTAGATTTTTGCAAGAAAATCTCTGCCTTCAAATTCTTGAAAATTTGAATTGTAACAATCTTAAATTTGATGATCACAATAAAATAACCGAACAGCATCGAGCTGTTGTGTCATTAGAGCCGTCACCAATGAACTGAAAACAACTGCTAGAAAATCTGCCCATTTTTTATTAATCGAATCTCACTTGAGATATGGTGTCAAGGGGTTTTGTAACAAATAGTTAGCCGATTTTTATTTTACAAAAAAGGGCATTAAAATATATCTGGAAAGTAAATATTAGATCTCCATTCATAATGAATTACTGACTGTACATTGTATTTTTATTTTGGAGACGTTGAGCCTTATATTCAAAAAAACAGAACTGAAAATAGCTACTTTATACACCACGTCAAATTCAAGACATTCCTCTGCCCACTCCAACGTTAACAAAACATTGTGTTGTTTGTTGGAGATATTTTCAATCAATTACCTGGCAAAATAAAAAGTATTGTAAACTTCAAGGCATTTCGTACCATGTAAGAACTTTTACTCTCAAAACCCTAATACAGTCTGGCGGAATATTTTGAAGAGAGGGTTCAAGACCAGCTTCTGATTCAGGTTTTTATTTTTTTACCTTGAGAAAAAAGCAAAAGCAAGTTGATTTTCAATTCAGAGGATACATCTTTCTAGCAAAACCTCAACTTTCATAACTCCTCCTCCGCCCCTTGGTGACCATTAGGTACTCTTAGAATTGAATAGAGAAAGTACTGAATGTGACAGATCATTAAGAAGGTCATTTTATAAGGAATTCATCTATGTGACTTTTCACTATGTAACTTTTCATTTTGGCGCTCTCTTAAGGGAAAAACAAAGTCATCAGATAACTCCTTATATTTTGGAGCGTCAGACAAAGTTTCGAGATTATCTTATATTCATATACATATAGCATATAAAGAGAACAGTTAGAGCATCTACTGCGAATTAATGTATTCGAAGCTATTGAAAATATGCACGTTTTCCCATGTTTTCATTTTTTCTTATCTTTTTGAGAAGCGTCATTTTGAACAGTGACTCCAATACTTGGGTCTGATGACATTTCTAAAAGAGATTAATATTTCTCGTTTGACATACTGTCGGGCTTTTGTAAGTTGAGTAAAAAACGAATATGAATCCATGAATTCAGTTTCATTTTTGTATTCTGTTCTTCGGTAAAATACTTCTCAAAAGATGTGCGCATCGATGTCAGATATTGGACCAATTCTTCAAATACATCATCTTAAAACATTTCTTGAGTTGTTATCGCTAAGAAACTCGCTAGATATATTTCTCTCTTACCAACGCAAATATTTCAAAAATCTAATTTTCTTTTGAAGGAAGTTATTTTGTTACAGGCCTGGAACACTGTTGTCTGTTTACCGTGCAAACATTTGTAAAGCGGCTCTAAGTTCAGATAACCTTGTTGAAGTTTTACCCTGAAACACCCATCACACTTCTGTATGGAGCAGCGGTGTTTTATGTTTGCTGTTATAATCTACACACAATAATGAAAGCAATCGAGATTGTAGTGGTCGTGATTTGATTACATTTATTATTTTTACCACTTCATCTATAACTAATTTTGGATTTGACAGCATTTGCTTAATCGCAAGTGCTTGTCTATGCAGGATACTATGACTGAAGCTACAATTAGGTGCTTTTTTATTTGTGACACTACTCCTGCTGTTTTACCCATCATCGCCTTGATCCCATTTGTACAAATGTCAATGCAACTGAGATTATTTTCTTCAAAAATTATTTTTTTTATTGAAAATTTCTTTTCCGGTAGTGTTTATGTGCAGCGGTGAACACATAATTATGTCTTCCTCAAAAGAAATTTCATATGGATATCTTATGATAACCAGCAAGATAGCCAGACCAGCGATATCAGTCGACTCATCCATTTGCAGAACGAATCGTATTTTTGTAGACGTGTAACTAGTTCGTGTTTGACGTAGCTTGCCAGATCATGAATTTTTTGTGAAACAGTATTGTTTAATAGCGGCACAGTAAAAAGATGCTTTGCAGATTTTTCATCGAGAATACATTTTGTTATGTATAACACACATGATTTTATTAAATTCTCAGCGATAGTGTGTGCTTCATCTGCTTGTGCAATGCGCTAGCTAACTAAATATGATGGCTACGTAGCCTTTTTATTGATAGTTTGGGTCACATGCATCATAGTTTTTTGACTTTCCAATTACTGTTCTTTTGTGTGTTCAAAAAATTCTTTATTTGTGTCTTTACATTCTGGGTGTACAGTTTCTAAATGTTAGCTCAACTTGGAAGGTGCCAAGGAACTATTAGGAAGCAGTTTACTACACAGCATGTAGAGAGATGATTCGTTGAAATCAACAAATCCAAAACTGATACTTCCTCTTTTTCGCCTTCGAAACCGTGGAAATTGACGTCCTTGCATTATCGTCTGGATCGGTAATTGCTGTATACTCCGCACATACTGCTTTTGAACATTCGGCTTCGTTAGAATACATTGCTTTTATCAAAGGGACTGCGCGCTCATAAGTAGATATCGGCGGTGGCGGCATAGTTGAATTGTACGGTATGTTTACCTAAATGGCTTGCATCGGATTCTTTGGAGTAGCCTAACGGCGCCTTTCGGCATGGCAGCGGTAGCTTTGTTTCAAGCGGCGGTCCGTTTACGTCGGCTTAACAAAGTATGCCAATCATTTTAATGAATTTTCATAAACTACACCTCACGATTTGATCTCCACAAACTTTATTTGAAAAATATATCACATGTTTCGCTAACACAGTAACTTTACCAACAGTGATTTGAATACTACTTGCTTCTTACACTAATATTTATATACATCAGCTAAACAACAAATTACCTAAGCCTCTACCTAAGGTACTTCTTCAATTATGATCACCTGAAGCATATTATCTCACTTTTACATCAATAATAATTCTTTCTCGGTTTTTCTAAGAAAACAAGTTCAATAATGCTGATCTATTAAAATCCAGTTGGTCATAGAATATTTGAATTTTCAAGTTTATTAATTTCCATTGCTTCCAAATGATTAAGTTTCAAACCTTTATTTTCTATGAGTAAAATTTTGTTTATTAATTCGGCTTTAAACCCATTGTTTACTGCAATTTGCTTGATGATATTAAGTTCTTTATTGAAATTATCTATTGGAAAAGGAACATTGACTAATCTGTGAAGCATGCTATTATGGGCTGCTACTTTGTGTTGATATGGATGAGTAGAATCGTAATGTATAGTATAGGACGTATAGGACGGTTTGTGATAAATTGAAAAATCGTGTTTGTTGTTCATTCTACTAATTGTTATGTCCAAGTTCTACTTCAATACTGAATTTAACATTTTCACGAATTTTATTAATATCCCTATGAAAAGTATCTAATGTCTCTCATTACCTGTAAAACATATCAAAACGTCCACATATCTATGCCAATAAATGAAATTTTTAATTAAAGGATGTTTGAAAATCAACTCCTCTAGTTTATCTATGAAAATTTCCGCAAGTACGGGGCTTAATGGATTTCTCAGAACTAAACCTTTGGAAGAGGAATTGTCGTTAAATTGAAAATAATTTTTTTTTGAGACGTCACGACAGAAGGTCAATGATTTCTCGTTTTATAACTGGGTTTACTCTATTTTTATCCAATAATGCTATTACTAAAGTTAAAGTATCATCAGGAGGTATGCTGGGAAATAGATTCTGTACATCAAAGGATAGTAATTTTGCATTGCCTGGTAGAGGTATGTTCTCTATTTAATTGATTAAGTCATATGAATTCCATAGACTGAATTTTGGTTGAAAGTTACAATAATGGTTCAAGATGATACTGATTAGGTTTTCTGATAATTTCACTGATGGTGCAGTGACAAAGGAAATCACTAGTCTAATTGGATAACTCTGTGCAGTTTTATGAGTGAGTATAATTTTGGAATTTGAGGGTTCATCAATGTTAACTTTCCCTTTTAGTAAAAAGTATGTTTGAATTTTTTGTTTCAATTTTTTTTTTGAAAAATTCAAATATACTTTTTACAGAAAAGGAAAAGTTTAAATTAACAAAACCTTTCTCTAGTCCATAAAACTGGGATAACCAAGTGGAATATAATTTGTTACATTTGGTCAAAGCAAGCCATCCTTTATATTGAAAAACATTTTTGAAAACTGAAATTACCTTTTCTATAGATGTCAGGCATGTCCGTGACACTGCCTCACTCAATGACACAATGTTAAATTCTACGCCGCAGTTTCTATTGGTCCTCACTATTTTATCATAACAACAACATGCGGCACCAATACCACCGTGAAACTCTGAAAAAAAGTAAACCAGTTTCATTACGTTTAGATCGCTCTTATTCATCAGACTATAAACCTAATGCATTTTTAGCTTTATGTCCATTTCTCTATTAGTTAAAGAGAAGTGTATGTACCCAGCTATCCAAAGACGGCGGTAGCTCAGCTACTGGTTGGGCTTACCAGGCCGGACAGGTCGAGGGTGAAAAGTCAAACGAAGAAGAGTAGCACCCTCTGCAGCACCGGGAATTAGAATACGTCCGCGCCTGTGTTATGCGACCCGTGTCGAAGGATGAATGGTACCTGGGCCTCATCAGGTATTACCAACGAAGCTTCTAAGATATCAGGCGACCTCTAAGAGTATTTAGTTTTACATTCATGCAGGGGACTTTATGGATATCAACAACCCTTTCCCCCATACTTGTGGGAACTTAAGCCACAGCCACAAACGAAAGGAGTAGGACTCTTTCAGCGACTCCTCTGATTCACAATGGAAGTAATACAAGCCAACCTACAACACAGTAAGGGGGCTTCGACGTTTTTCATGAAAGTTATGAAATATTGACATTGTTCTCATACAAGAACCCTGGCTTTAGGGGGGAGTTAATTTACGACAGATTCTCAGAGACCCCAAGAACATGCAAAATTATCTGAAAAGGATTAAATGTACTATAGTCGAGTAACTTTTGTACGAGGAACTTGTCGGAGGTCAAACTAAAGATGATTAGTGAAGGATGGTCTGAGGATATCGTGATTGGATGAGCGTACCTTCCTTTCAATAGTCAGGAACTGCCAGCAAACAGGGAAATAGACGAACTAGTGAGAGCTTGCCAAGCAGCTCATAATCGGGTATGACACCAATGCGCACCACCTGTCCTGGGGGAGCCCCGACACCAATAATATGAGGTGAACACTTACTACAGTTTATTATGACAAACAATTTAGACATTTAAAACGTACTCAAACTCTAGTTTGAGTTGAGCCTAGATGATGATAGCACGACCAGCTGTCGAAAGCGCTCGCATATAATTAAATAGAAGTTATAAAGCTTCAAATCCTTTTTGTGACTTACATTAATATTAATATTAGGATCACCTTTATTCTAACACCTGGGAAAATTGAAAAGGACTAGGCAAAGCCCTTGAGACCAATCAGTCTTATGTCTTCTGCATTGAAAATATTGGAAAAACTACTTAACAGGCATACTAGCGACATAACACTGGCTACCAGGCTAATGCATTGAGAATTTGCCTACAGATAAGGTATGTCAACAGAAAAAGCTTTATGCTGTGTAACAGAAAGAGCAGAATATGCTTACAAGAAGAACAAAGAAGTGCTTTTAGGTGCCCCCTTGGAATTCTGGGTATTTTTGAGAATACATCCCTAGAATGAATCTTCCAGGGCATCGAGAAGAAAAGGTATCGACCACACAAGCTGCAGGTGGATAGACTGCATGCTCAGAGGTAGAATTTAGATTGGTATACACAATCTTGTAATAAACGATTGACTACGTCTTCTAGGCCGTAATGGACACAACGTACGGGCCTGAATATAAGGCTGAATATGCTCAGCCCTGAAGGACTCAACATAAGAGTTTGAACATTTACCACGAGGACTAAAACAAAGGATCTAGGACACCTGAAACTTCATGGTAAAGAGATGAATCTGTCAGGGAAAGTCAAAAATCTGTGAGTGATACTAGATCCCAGGTTAGCCTGAAACCAACATCTTGAAAAAATTAAAAGAAAGGCAGAGATAGTGATGATGGTGGACAGACGCATCTACGGAAATATACAGGGGCTTAAACCATGATGTATTGGCTCTACAATATGGTGCTTTTTATGCAGAAGATGAAAACCCTTGACATCCCCTGGTGCGTCGGATTTTTACCTGCAAAAAAAACCTCAACCTGTCTCTTCGCACCCCTCACTGGAACAGCTTGCGAATTAATTCAGTGAGAGAGCTGTCTATACCATGAATGGATTCTTCAGCTAATTCTGTCTTCTCTCTCTTTTGTTTCAATGATAAATCTCATCACTCCATCCATTTTCACACGATACCATGGATTGAACCATAGTTCTTTTTTCGAATGAAGAACAAGTTTCTAATTAGTATTCCTGCCATACATATGAAAAGTGTGTACTCTGCGTCATCTATTTCTCCACAGTATGGACATTCCTCACTTTCCAACACAGACGATTGAAAATGTATTTCCTGAAGCAGATGTGCGCAGAAATTGCTTGTGTTATAAAATAATCCACTTTACCATATGGTCTACAACGTCCACTCACTTATTCCATCCTTCCCTGTATATTTGTCCCACCTTTCTTCAATGAAGAGTTCTATAGAGGGTATTCCAGCTATAACCCCAACTGCATCCGTATATATTGTTCTATAGGCGGAGTATACCCTAATACAGAGTTTGTGCTGAATGCTGGCAAGTTTCAACAGATGTTTTTTGTTACTGGTCACCCTGTGCCAGGTATACAACATTTGAGACTGGGCTATACTCAATAATGCTCTTCTTTTGGATGATATAGCTCTTCCTATGTTTGGCATGAGAGAGGACAATGCTCTCGCCATTTTTTCCACTTTTTGCGAAACTCTTATGATGTTTTTCACCGACCTTTTTTGGGTATTTGTTACCTTCCACAATCTGAAAAATATAAAAATTATAATGGAGAAATTTATACAAGTGTAAAAAGGGCTAACTTTTTAATTTACCCCAATAAGTTACTGCGTAAAATCAAAGTATTTTTCAAAAATAAAAATGTTCTATTTATCAGTAACTTGTCGTATTTAACAATTTTGCCTATCAAAAAAATTTTCTAAGAAATAATACAATACTTATATTTACGTTTCGGAGGCCAAAATCTGCCTCCGTCTTCAGAAATGGACAAAAAAATTCTAAGATATTTGCAGTTATTCCTTTTTGATTATTTATTTCTTAACTTCTTCGATAGATGTCAAAGGAGTTTTGAAATATGAAATTATGTCAATGTTGTTGATTGACAACTGTAACATTCGATGTTATACAAGGTGCTCTCCGATATCAGTCTGTTGTCATTTTGCCACTATCCAAATTTTTCTTCAAGAGGTGTAGCCAAGTACGGTCTATTTCTAAGGAGCTGTTCGAAATACAATTCTCTCCAGATATGAGAATATACGCTGATTCTTTTAGCTTACGTCTCTTAGAGTGAGGCTCATTGGTAATAATTCTTGTCTTGTTCCATTCCACTGGATATTCCCGTCTGATTTTAAAATGTGTTCAGACAATTCAGATCCTGTCAATTATCGATTTTTTATGTGATCTCGATGTTCATTCTCACGCGCTTTCAATGGTCTCACCAATGTAACTTTTACCACAAGAACAAGGTATCTCATAAATACAATTTTTTGTTTTCGTGTTGTTGGGTTTTGTATGTGTGAGTATAGATCTCAGTGTATTTTTTGTTTTGAAAGTAGTTCTAACATCATACCTATTTCCAATTCGCCTTATTTTTTTAGATAGTCTTGGAATGTAAGGTATAACGTTAGTTGTGAAAGGTGTCGGTGGACGTTGAGTCGGTAATTGTTAAGTTGAATGTTGTTGAATTTGTGAAGCTGTTGTAAGGACAATTTATTATACCTTTTTTAACACTCGCATGATGATTCGATTTATAGTGAAGATATATATTTGTATGTGTTTTCTTCCAATAAACATTTGTATCAAATTGATCTGATAACTGATAACTGAGAAAAAAATGGCCCATAAAAGTTACTTGAATTCTCGTGATGATAGGTACTATAATAATTTTATCAGACCTTAGAAGAATATGCAAGAACTTATCTGAGACTTGCTTCGGAAATTATGTGAATCAGCTCAATCAATCCATATATACCAATCCGAAATCTTTCTGGAATTATTTTAATAATAAAAGGGCTACAAATGAAATACCGGACACAGTAAAATATGGGGCTGAGATTGGAACCAACAGCAAGCAGATTGCAAACTGTTTTGCAAACTTTTTTTGCTACTGTGTATTCTTCTTCTGCTGATATAGATGTTAATAATTTTTCAGAATTAGTTGAGTATGATATACCAGATTTCTACGTGTCAGTGGAAGACATTTTCAACAAAATTTTCAATCTCAAAGACAAACTGAATTGTGGACCTGATGGCTTTCCCAAGTATTTTTTCAAAAAATGTATCTGTACCTTAACATATTCCATATTTCTTATTTTCAAGTGCTCATTAGATTCTAGTTCATTTCCTGACCTGTGAAAACATAGCTTTATCCGGCCTATTTTTAAATCTGGTGATAAACAAAATGTGGAAAATTATCGAAGTATCTGTAGTCCGTCTTCACTTGCAAAAATTTTTGATTCATTAGTTAGTGATCAGTTAAAATTTTATTGTAAGGAACGTTTAATAAATAATCAACATGGATTCTCACACAATATAAATCTACTATTACCAACTTGATGATTTTTGAACACAAAATATTGGATGTTTTGGAAAGTAAAGGGCAAATGGATACAGGGTATACAGATTTTTCAAAAGCTTTTGATCGAGTAGACCACAATATCTTATTGAAAAAATTAAAGATATTTGGATTTTCTGACTCAGGTGTAACATGGCTCAGAAGTTTCTTATGTAATCGAACTCAACAGTTAAAGTTGGAGGCGTTACATCGGTTATAATTCAGGTGCCATCAGGGGTACCTCAGAGTTCTCACTGCGCCCCTATGTTATTCAATATCTTTATTAACGACATTGTTGAATGTTTGCATCATACTGATTTTTTGATGTTCGCAGATGATCTCAAAGTTTTCATGCCAATAAGATCACTATATGATTCAACACTAATGCAAGATGACCTAGATAGATTGGTTACATGGTGCTCCGAGAATAATTTACAGTTGAATATCGCAAAATGCTGTTTTATGAGTTTTCACAAAAGAAATAAAAAATTTGATACTTCTTATGTAATTAATGGCCATGGATTATCTTAAGGATCTGGGTGTTTTTTGATGAACAACTTCAATTTTTAAACCACTTGAACTATATTGTGGTAAAGGCGGCAAAATGTCTTGGATTTATTCTACGACATGGTAAACATCTGTCCCTTCAATTGTTAAGGATAGTTTACTTGTCTCTGGTAGTATCAATATTAGATTATGGCTCAATGATATGGTCTCCATTTTATGATAATCACAATCTTACTCTTGAAAGAGTTCAAAATAAACTCCTAAGATTTTGTGCTCATAGAAAGAAGTATACCTGTTATTGACCATGATTACAGCAATATTTTAGAAATCCTTAATCTCAATCTGTTGAGAAAAAGGAGGGAAAACTTTGATCTAATTTTCATATACAAGTTACTGAATGGCTTAATTGTTGCTCCTGAAATTTTAGAAAATATTAATTTCAATGTCCCAAACAGAATTCTAAGGTCCAGCGATTTGTTTCACTTACGGTTTCATTCTACAAATTATGGCTTACATAACCCTGTTGATAGTACACTTCGACTTATTAATGAAAGAAAATTGGAAGTAACTGGTATATCTCTCAGCAAATTCAAAAACAATCTCTTATCTGCATGGTAGTATTATGATATGTATTTTATAATAACTTAAGTTAATGTAATGTAGTATAATACTTTTTTGATAGGCAAAATTGTTAAATACGACATGTTACTGATAAATAGGACATTTTTCTTTGTGAAAACTACTTTGATTTCACGCAGTAACTTATCGGGGTAAACTAAAAAGTTTGCCCTTTCTACACTTGTATAAAGTTCTCCATTATAATTTTTATATTTTTCAGATTGTGGAAGGTAACAAATACCCAAAAAAGGTCGATGAAAAACTGATTTTCTTCCACAAAAAGCGACTTTAGTTGAATGTTTTGATGTGTTCAGCGAAGGTCAGCTTAGTATCTATCCAGACTCCTAGCTATTTTACTGCTTTTTTTTGAAGCACAGCAACATCTTGTACATCAAATTGGGCAGGGTTTATTATTCTTTTTGTTGTTAGGAAGGCCGCTTCTGATTTTTCTGGGGCTAGTTCAACTCCCTCCCAGCGTGACTCCATCTTGTTGTTTCAGTCTTAGAAGACCATCATATAAAATGTTCCAGAGCATTGGTCCTAGAACTGATCCTTGAGGTACACTGTTACTGATTTCTTTTGTTCTCATAGTAGTATCTGTCTCCATGATAATATTTCTCTCTCTCTCTGTCAAATATGACCCTGAAAGACTCAAGAGGCTCTCGTTAACAGGTCTCCTCATCAACTCCACCAAGCTTTCTTGCCATCTTGCGGTGAACAATACGGTAGTTACACCCATGATAGCATATACATCTGGTGGTCAAAGATGAAACAATCAACCGCTATTAACGAACTAAGCACTTGTGCATAGATTTGCATGTTTGGGAATAACAGGAGCAATGAAAACCACTCCAACTGCTGCATTGGACACTCTTGAATCTTTCTTCTTTACATCTAATGATAATGGGGTAGGAAATAGTGGGTTACTTTAGACTGAAAAACTCACCGAGTTATATGATAATGGGAAAAACAGAAATTTCTTAATATGTGGAGGAATGAACATCAAACATGTTCTCAGTCCACATGTCCCGAAATATTCACCGTGGAAATCTTGAATCATGAAGAGTGGAGAATGAACAGTCATCCTGAGAACATGCTCGATAGAAACACCTAGTATACAAACGGGTTGAAAACTGAATATGAAACGGGCGCAAGAATTTACTGTGTGAGGAGAAATCTTCATTTCAGTTAGCCACTTAGTCAGTACACATCAGTATTCCAGGCTGAAGTATATGCCATCTTCCAATGTGCAAGGAACATTGATTTGAGGCCTCAACGAAATAAGCAGATCAATATTTTCATAGACAATCAGGCTGCACTTGTGGTACTGACGAACACACAAGTGACATCGAGGCTGGTATGATAGTACTGTGAAAAGCTGAGGAAACTGGCGGAGAGAAATAGATTGACTATATACTGGGTGCCAGGACACTCAAGCATCGCACGCAACGAAAAAGCTAATGAGTGTGTCAGACACAGGCCTAAATATAGGCCCTGAACCAGCTATGGTGGTACTGAAGTCTTTGATACGGAACCCGATCCGAAAGCGAGCCTATAAGAAACATAGTACTGGGAAAACATATCATGGAACACCCATGAGAAAACCTTCATAAATTCACTTTCCGAGAAGAGAACTGCTTCAACGAAACAGGGATCGGCTCAGAACAATTACAGAGCTACTTACTAGAGACTGTCAATTGAGGATGCCTGAACTAAATAAGGCTGCATAACAACGGAGACTTTTACTGTAGGCAACGCAATAAAGGGACAGACCGCTCATCATGTTTAATGTGAATGTTGGGGCATTGGATCACAGTAAGCAAACAATTTATGGACAACCTGAATTATGTCCAGAAAAATATGACATGCATCTAACAAGGGACATATACAGACTAGTACAGGGCTGTGGAATGAATGTTGGAATGAGTGTCATAAAAAAGATGGGAGAAAAACGCAATAAGCTCATGAGGCGGCAGTGTTTTCCAGAGACAGATAAGTCAGACGACTCCTGAATAGGGGAACAAAATATATTATAGGAGGCGATAGAAATTCACAAATACGAAAACAATTCAAGCAAAAGGAAAATAATTGTCATTAATAAAATTCTGGCTATCTGCACTCAATTGCTTTTGTATCAGGTCGAAGGCCTAGAACAACACTGAACAATCAGAAAACTTCGTCCGATGCCTCTTTGCCTTTGATATCTACCGTAGTCGTACACAAAATATCAGGCACACAGACCTGTATATATAGGCGAACAAACCAGCAAAATAGCTCTGACGAGGGTACTGAATATTATTTTGTGAAATAATTTGTATAATCTGTGTACGATTTGATAAATAATTAATTAACATTCAATTTCACTGTTTTTCTAACTCACCTGCCGATCTGCTGAAGCAATCTAAACCGCCAGTTCTTGAAATCGATTCATTCTGTGACAAAACATATGCCGTGGCAGGTTCTCTGACGCGACTCTTCAACATTTCTTCATCCATTCCAGGTTGCATTGTCCATTTTTCTCTCTTCACATAAGGGGGTTCATTATCCTCATCTTCACTATTGCTATCATTTTGCGACAATGTGTCGTTTTCCATAAATAAATCCATTCGACGAATCGTTAAGTAGTTTATGTCTATTGGGTAAGCGCAACTTTGCAGAATGTCGTCATCTCCTCTCGGGGTGTTTTTCCATCCTTCAATTATTTGTCTGTGTGGCGGAATTCCGTACATGTCGTAAACATTCGATTTTAAAATTTCTGAAAAATACAATGATTAAATAAAATGATATACAATTTACAAAAAAGAAAGGATACTTTACCTCATAGATATTAAAGACCTTGGTCAAAAATTTTATACCTAGGTAACATTATGGCCCGTAATGTTATGGATATGTCATACCCGTAATTTACAGGCATGAAGCTATCCACATCCATAAAATACCCTAAGAGAAATCTATTGAGAAATTATTTTTTCATTCAACTACTTTGTACACTTACCATTTTTCAATATGAGATGCTTCTAGACTAGCTTAGTGAAAAACAAGACGCATACTAGATTTTTAAGCCATCTGGAGAGGTGAAAAGAGTGTGTAAATGTTCAAAAAAATTCGCAACATGAAAAATTGACTTTGTACATGTACCAAACTGAGATATGTTATTCCTGGTGAGCAGGTGTATACATTTCACTTCCTTTCCATTCCCTCAGACGGCCTGGAATATGGAAAACTCTGACGTGAAGCTTATTTTATCGAATCGGTAATCAGGGAAAACATATCTTGGAGGTATATGTACACGGTCAATTTTCGATGATACATTTACAGTTTCCACCCGATTTCTACATACTCAGACGCTCTGGAAAACTATGATGTGAAGTTTTTTTTTGTCGAATCGGTCATCAAAAATAACGTATCTCAACCTTGTAGATGTACACATTCAATTTTCGAAGATACGATTTTTTTCAAGTTCTCGCCCCATTTCCATTTCCTTAGACGGCATGGAAAAGTGAATTTTTTTTTTTTGCTTAATCAGTTTTCAGGAAAAACGCATATCAGTTTGCTAGGTGCACAATGTTGATTTAAAAGAATATATTGATGGAAGTAGCCGTTAGTTACTACGTGGTAGGAAATCATAATGAAAAAGGAGAATTGAAACTATGTTTTTTACCACTTTTACTTGTAACTAACATTGCGTCAATTTTTAAGAAACGAGTTTTTTAAATACATCCACTTCTTCGGACGGCTTAAAAAAACTAGCCAATCAAGAAGCTTACCTATCATATTGAATAATGGTAGGTGTACAAAGTCGTTAAATGATAAAATTATAATTCAATATTATTTCTGTGTACTTTGTTGATGTGGATAGCCTTACACCCATGGTGACATTTGCTCAATACATAAATGAAATTATGGCCAAATCTTTCAAACTCAAACAGAGACTTTAGGAGAATAATTTACTGCTTATATGCGAGGTCGAATCTTAAATACTTTTCTGTTTAGTCCCCAGTCCCACAATACGAGCGATATATTAAGAAGATTGAATGTTTCAAGAATTTTTGTTATTGTTTATATATGTTTTATGTTGTGCTTTCAAGTTAGGACATTCTTGAAACTAATATAAACATGATGACTTCGAAAAAATTGTGAACATCAACTAACTTTTCCATTAGAAGACCCGTCTATGATATATCTAAAAAGAATTGTCAGCCAATATCAACGGTCTCGAGGTATATGAAACTATTGATTTGAAAACTCCAGTTCTTACTACCCGCGATTTCAAAATTCAGGGTGTTTCTGAATAAATATAAAACATTTAAGGAGGTGATTCCTCATCGAAAAAAAGATAGGATCTTTCATATAAAGAAACATATTTTGGATGAATACACATAAAATCAGGAAGATTTTGAATAACGTGAGCTTTAAAAATCTAACAGTTCATTTGTATATACAGTGCATTCCATTTAAAATGAGGCACTCTAAATAACTTTTGGTACGATGATTTGCAGGAAAAATAAAAAAACACGTCAACAATAGTATACAGGGGGACACATTTTGACATATTCACATTTGATGTTACTTCCCCTATTGCACCCCCAGAGCATGTCAGAATTTTTTTTGTTTAATGGATCATCCTATATTGTTTCGCATTATCAGATTCTCCATTTACTGGAGAAATTTTTTTCTTCTCATTGTCCAGTCATCAGATTTTGATTGTCGAATTAATAAAAAAATCTCTTTTTCTGATTTATTATTGCTTCCATAATTTGTCTTTAGAACGAATATTTCAACATGTGGCCTCCTGTATAATTGTTGACGCGTTTATTTATTTTTCCTGCAAATCATTGTTCCAAAAGTTATTCAGGGTGGCTCGTTTTCAACTCAAATAATTTGTAGCTCCCGAACCATAAGCTTCAAACCATATGTTTTATACTTTGTTGAAATCTGCTCATCATGGAGTATCTGATAATGCGATACAATATAGGGTGATCCATTTAAAAAAAATTGGAGACATGCTCTGGGGGTGCGATAGGGGAAGTAACATCAAATATGAATATGTCAAAATGTGTCCCCTGTATACTATGGTTGATGTGTTTTTTATTATTCCTACAAATCATTGTACCAAAAGTAATTCAGGCTCGTTTTAAATGGAATGTACTGTATATAGATATATGTGCTTGTACGTGAAATATGTGTGTGATTACATAAACTTAAATAATTTCAAATCTATCATTGTATTGTTGTATCAAAGCTATTTTTCGGGTTTGTTGGTCATGGTCTGCAGGTTTTATGTCTGATGTTTTTTCTACAACTGCGGTGAACATTATCAAAGGCGATAGGGCAACAGACAAATTGCTCACAACACGTACTATTTCCGTTCATCGGTGGTGGGCGTAGCTTCGTTTCTATTGGTTGAGTGAAATTGACTGATTGATTGAAATTCTCTGTGTTTATGAATTTCTATCGCCTCCTTATGTACTCCTGAATAGAGTTCTGTCAACTACTTGTGGTTCTTCTCAAGAGATAACGTGAGTACCTTCTTTGAGTGCATGTTCGGCTACAACTGATTTGTCGGTATGCCTCAAGCAACAATTTTTTTTGTGTCCAGAGAACACAGTACTTACATTTTTTTCGTGGTTCCAATGTAGACCAAACCACACAAGAGATCCGGTATACGCCCGGTCTTGCTAAAGGCTCTCTGGAGTCCTCAATTGATCTTAGACTGTCTCTGAGAGTCTTCGTTGGCCGAATATTGATTTCACTTTGTGAATTTTCCCATTCTGGTCTATTTCTAACATATGTGAGAAAAGCTTTTCCACAAACTGGTCTGACGACTCTGCTATACCTACTCCTTTTGAAATCATTTTTCATTCGATTGAGTTCTTCGGAGAAATTCTCATGTTCACAGATCCAAGCCCTCTTAACCAGTATTTTAATTACCCCTCCCTCTTGTCATGGCTGGTGGTTTGGGAGTTTTTATTCAGATATATATCCGTGTGCGTTTGTTTACAGTTCACTCTATGACCCAATGTCCCATCTTCTCGTCTGTTCACTATTACATCACAGAGAGCATCTATTCATTGGTTTCCCGTTTCATTGTGAATTAGATTTTTAGGGTTAGGAAGTTTAGATATAACATAAATGTATTTAGTTACTCTCCATCATGCTGCCAAACCACGAATGATTCATCCATGATGCACAGGCAACAACATGATTTCATGGCGGGCCGGGCCCGCTAAAGGCCCGCTGCTAGAATTTTCCGTGAAAAAGTTTGCCATCATAAGACTTTATGGTATCGATACCATCCGTTTTTTCCTACAAAACACCACAACATTGGAAATACGTCGAAAATACGTTGAGTAAAACATTAGTTGAGAGGGACCAACGCATCTGTGAACCTGTGAGTCTCCCGGCGAAACTGAATCATCTGAAAAATACGACCCAGGAAACGACGCCAAAGTAAATCCAGATAGGCGTATTCATTCATGAGCTTACCTCCTCTATGTCAAAATATTACCAACCGAAATGGGAGAATTCTGGAGAAACACGATGTGAAACCAATATTGAGACCAACGAAAACTATCAGAGATGCCCTAAGATCTACTAGGGACCCCAGAGGGCCTTTAGAAACACCGGGGGTACACCGGATCAGATTCTTCGGAGAAACTCTCATGTTCCCAGATGGGTCAGGCCCTCTCAACTAGTATTTTATTCACTTCCTTCGCTTGTAGACGTGGGTCGGTCTGCATTGGAACCACGAAAAGAATTGCAAGTAAGAGACTCTCCAAACAGAAAAGAAATCAGGTACAGCCGAACATGCACTCAAAGAATGCATTCTTCTTATCTCATTCGAAGAGACACAAGTACAAACAGACAATTTCGATCCAAAGGGAGAGGAAAACAATATAAATGAAGTCTAGCCACCTACACTAAATTGTAGAATGTTCAGGCCACTTAACTCAACCAATAGGAACGTATTCACGTCACCGCCACCACCACATTTTACCAGTAGTACATACTGTGTGGAAAACCAGGCCACTGTGTCCGGCAAACGGCCAATAAACCCGGAAATCAGCTTTGACAATTATCTTAGGTTGTGAAAATTTATACTCTTGTATAATGTATTTGTTTGTTAAGTATAGCTAAAATTATGCTTCTGAGGTATGTTGTGTTGTAAATTGTTCTTCCTTGCGGTAAAAGGTAAGACCTCGTTAGTCCTTAGCTCGCACAAGTTTCGACTTTTGAGAGTTGTCGTTCGTAGGGGGGCGACAGTTGGTTAACGAAAAAACAGATTTTAAACAGACAGATTATAAATTGGTTTATACTGTTAAATAAAATACAATAAATAATACTGTTCTTGAAAGTATATTCTCCAAAACAATTTTGATATTTGATAACAAAGAAAGATTCAATGAATGACTTTTTTTCTGAATAATTTTTTCCGATTATGTATAAAAATTAAAAATTTCCAAAGTTTGAGAAATGTATTCTTTGATCTTATCTATCAATGGCATGTCTATTACCGTTTGATGCTCCAAGAAACTTTCTACTTGTATTTAAAAATCAAAAAAGGAATTAAGAAAAAAGGGAACGATTGCAAGAGTTGAGTCTATACCTTGAAATAATGTAATTTTTCAAGTGACAATCGATGCGCTTTACACAATGACCAGTAGGTGACTTCCCGATTCATAACAGGAGTTGATTAATATCAGATCTGTTTTTAAAAAAATACAAACAAGGTATGTATATAGACGGCATCGCTAAGATTCCTATATTTTCAAAACTGGAGTAGCAGGATTCTCTTTTTTTTTCCAGATCAGTAATATTTCTTATTACTCTTTTTTGGCCAAATTGTTAGCTGAAGAGGATAAAGCCTGGAAACAGAAGTCTTTCAACGACTTGTGCTAAAACTTGAATAATATCAAGAGTAAGGAAACGTCTTAGATTTTTATTGCCGGAGGAATTTCAACGGTCGAATTTCACGGTCGATGTAAAATTACGGAAGAGTTCTTGACATTATCTTTGTTTATCATGGAATTTTATCATCTCCATATTCATGAAATGAATATGGCAGCAAACCATTCTTCCATTTAAGTTATGGTCATTTCACATTGTTATTCTAACTCATCTTAACACTACGGACGTGTCACCAGCAATTAAGGTAAATGAGAACATGTATAAAGTATTTTTTTTTAAATAAAGAGGGATCTTTGAATCCATATTAATATCATTGATAGAGTAAAAATAGTAAAAGTCAAAAGTGACTGCTGGAACACCGGTATTAATGTTTCTTTGTTGCTTCATTCGTTTTGATATACTACTTTGAATTTTGAATGAGCAAATGTAAACCTCTTATACCATGTCGAAATACTTTTTCACTTATGTCACGATCGGTACAGTCAAAGACTATGCTCGAGATCGCAAAAAATCCCAACAGGACACTTGCCAGTATCATTGTTTTGACACACGCAAGCACGCGTGCCCTCACGGACGCGATAAGTATTATTTAAAAGAAAATGTATCTGTACACACTGTAAAACGATTAACTTACCCACTGTGTCATATTCTGGTAGTTCGACAGCGTGCTCTTCCTCCCCATATTTAAGGAAGAAAATTAGTGTGTTCTCCATTTCTGATTTTCAACCTGCAATAATATAAAACATATTACTACTAACACATATCATCCCAACATATTAATTTTTTTTTTCATTATTGCTTATTGTACCTACATATAGTGGAATTAAAGGAATAAATTCTTATTTTATAAATCGGTGACTATAGGAAAAAATAATAAGACTGTCGATTTTTAATTCAAATTGCGCATTCTGTCAGATTTTATTTTCATGTGCAAGCGTGATAGCGTCAGCTATAATTTTTTTAATGGAAACGTGGTTGATGTGGTGCATCATTTGAAAGGTCTTTTAATTCTCCATTCAACCATATCACATAGTGTGAGGACTTGAATGATAATGAAGTAGAAGCAGCTTTAGATAAATGTTACAGTATATGGGGCACAATTGTTGGGGAATGTGTTTCAACATACTCTACTGGTACTTGTAAAATTGGCAAATACCATTCCTGGTTTTCGCATGAAATCTAGTCACTACTTAAAAAAAATCGGTATTTTAAATTCAAATATGTGTGATAAATTCAATGTTCAATGAAGAGTATAAAAATATTATCAAAAATTGAAATGTTCAATAAAGAAGGGAGAATGTAAGTAATTTAACGAGTTCAGAAAAAATAGATACCGAAGTAAACTACTCCTGGAATCATATCAATAATAAATAAAAAAAATTATCCACCAACAACAATCCTCAAATACTGGACACTCTGAAAATACTGACCTGTATTGTTATTAGTCATCTGTAGTGAATCAACTAGATGAATTTGATTTTAAATAATGCAGTAAAGCCAGTTCAGCTAAAAAAAAACAGCTGAAGTAGATGACATACCGCAATATATACTTAAAGGTTGCCGTGAATGGCAGAGGACAACATTGCTCCATATGTTTAGCCTGATAATAACAAGTAAAACTTTTTTTTTTGGAGAACGTTTATGATTACCCCAAGACACAAATAAAATGATAAAAAGGATATAGAGAACTATAGACCAATTTCAATACTATATTTCCCAACAAAATTATTTGAACAAATTAGTCATACAATAAAGTTTCATCAATATCCCAATAAACACGGCCGTCGCGTGGGTGTGGCGACCGAGGCGGTCGCCTTGGGCGCCGCGATACAGGGGGCGCCGCCGGGGGTAAAAAAATTCGTGCGAATGTTATCTACTTTAATTTATAAGCACTTAGACAACTGTGTCAGTTCCTATATTATACAATTGATGCATTGCTGAGTGCGTAAAATTCTGCCTGTCTATGCAAAATTGATAATGTCATAGATTACTCATTCTCAGCAACTGTGTATACTCATGAGCAGCGCTACGCTGCTAACCAAACCACTAATATACTACCTACGCAAGCTTGGGAATCCAAATCTGACAGATGATAGTGTCATACCACACTCAGCGGCTAGCGCCACGCCAGCGCGCCCCTTCCCCACAACTCTTTAAACTAAACTCAGCCAGTCGTCACTTGTCAGTCAGTCGCTGGCTTCATTCACTACGCCGTTGTTGTGATTTGTGAAGCGCATAGTGTCATAGTGACAGTCCACACTGTGTGTGTGTGTGTGTGTTTGTGCGCGCGCGGGTGTGTGCTCGTGCGGGTGTGTGCGTGCGTGCGCGTGTGTATGTGTGAGTATGTGTCGAAGAAGTTGTCTAGGGCACAAAGGAGAAAATTGAACAGGGAGAGTGAGTTAGCGAATAAGGCTTTATTAAGTAAAGTGCCAAAACTAACCAATTTTTTTTTTAAAGTAATACAACACAAAATGAATTTGTGCCAGTACTTTTCCATACTGGCAGTACTACTGATGATACCGTTACAAGCGATCGTGACCACAGTGATCGTGATAGTTCTAATGACAATAAAAGAGTGATAACACTATCAACAGATACTGAAAATGAATTAATTTCCGAATCGAAGCAGGTGCCGGTGATTACTTATGCATATTCAGAGTGATGCATAAGAGCCGACTGAATATTCTGAAGAAGACCGTGATTACCCAAAAAATAACGACAACAGGCACTTTTCAAAACAATCCCGATATCGGATTTTGGAAAATGAAGAAATACTATCAAGGAGATTGTTGATTTATTATGAAAAATCAGATGCGGTCTACTATTTCTGTTGTAGATTATTCAATCCATCATCAAAGTCAAATTTTGGTCAAGCAATGGGTTTTAACAACTGGAAAAAATTGACAGGCCGTTTAAAATCCCATGAGTTGTCACCAGACCATTTCAAAAATATGGCTGAATGATTTGAAGCAGAAAAAAGAATTAAAGGAGACACCTCAATTAACCAGCACATCATGAAACTTTCTGTTCAGGCTGTCAGATGCCAATATATGAAATTAGGGATGCATCGGATGAGTTAGGCGACAAAATTGATGACCCCCAAACAGCCTCTGAGGATAAATCCTTGATTGGTCAGATGGAAGACTTTTCGTTCATAGTTACTCTGATTTTGTGGAGTGAAATTCAGTTTGAAGTTAATTTGACCAGTAAAAGCATTCAAGGGAAACAGATAGATATCGGTGACTATTCTGAGAGGTTCAGTAAGTGTTTGGAGTTTTGAAACAGATTTAAAGAAAATGGATATGGGGACGCAGTAATCTCAACTAAAAAAATAGCAGCCGAACTTGGTATGGAACCTGTTATTCCCGAGAAAAGGATTCGTAAACGAAAACGAGTTTTTTGATTGAGTCTTCTGAGGAAGTGCAATCGTCATCTGAAGAAACCTTCAGAAAAGAAGTTTTTTATCCATTAGTAGATAACATTTTGGTTTCACTTGAGAAGAGATCAACTGCGTTGGAGGAACACCGAAAAGTGTGGGGATTTTTGAGTAATGTTGAAGATGATGTTATGATCTAAATAAAGTTGCTTGGACCTTGAAAGACATTTAACAGAAGATATGAAAGGCATTGAGCTGCATCATGAACTTTTAGATGTGAGTTCGATTTTGGATCATGGAAACAAAAAAACATCAAAGTCACAACAAAAGAACTATTGTATAAAATCAAAACAACAAACAGTACAGATTTGTTTCCAAACTTGTGGGTCGCGCTAAGAGTGTTACTAACAATACCCGTGATAGTTCCTAGTGCCGAACGAAGCGTTAGTAAACCTGTCGCGCTAAGAGTGTTACTAACAATACCCGTGATAGTTGCTAGTGCCGAACGAAGCGTTAGTAAACCTAAGCTTATAAAAACGTATTTGCGATCTACGATGGCACAGGAAAGTCCGAAGTCTCTCGCCATTCTACCGATAGAGAATGATACAGCAAAAAAATTTGACTTCAAAGAAATTCTGAGAACATTTGCTAATGAAAAAGCCAAGCGAATGCCTGTCAAAGTTTAAAGTATATATACAGTGTGTCAATTTGAAAACTTCCCACCCTCAATATCTCCCTTCCAGTACATAATATGAAAAAATGGTCAGACAGGTCAACTTTA